TCTTAATTTCTCCTTTGACCCACTCATTGTTTAGGAGTGTGTTGTTCAATCACCACAAGTTAGTGTAGTGACTAGAGCTTCGTCCAGTGTAGATTTTGAGCCTTGTTGCTTTGTGGTCCAATAGAATGCATGGAGTTATTTCAATATTTTTGTATTTGTTGAGGTTTGTTTTCTGGCCCAATATGTGGTCAATTTTTGAAAAAGTTCCATAAGGTGATGAGTAGAAAGTATATACTTTGATGTTTGGGTATAATAATTGAAAGTTGTCTGTTAGGTCCATTTGATGTATGGTATCATTTAATTCAGACGTCTCTCTGTTTATTATTTGCCCAGTTGACCTGGAGACCATGGGGTACTGAAGTCCCCTACTATTACTGAGTTAGAGTTAATCTGTGTCTTAAAGTCCTGTCATGTTGTTTTTATGAATTTGGATGCACCAGAATTTGGTGCGTGTATGTTAAGGATTATAATATCTTCTTGTTCATCTGTTCCTTTGATCAGAATGAAGTGACCCTCCTTATCTCTTCTGATCAGTTTTACTTTGAAGTCTATTTTGTCAGATATTAGAATTGCAACCCCTACTTGTTTCTTAGTGCCATTTGCTTGGAATATTCTTTTCCATCCTTTTACCTTAAGGTAGTACCTGTCCTTGAAAGCGAGACACGTTTCTTACAGACAGCAAAGAGATCGATTTTGTTTCTTAATCCATTTGCTTAGCTTGTGTCTTTTGACTGGGGAGTTCAGTGCATTGATATTTAAGGTTATTATTGAAAGGTGTGTGTTGGTTGCCATCATTTTGATTGCTGTTTGTGTTCTCTGTGTAACTTTTTGTTTCCTAGATTGTATCTTTATTTTCTTTTGTTGTCTGTATTGCTTCAAGTATTCTTTGAAGGGCTGGTTTTGTGGACATGTATTCTTTCAGGCTATTCATGTCGTGGAAGATTTTTCTTCCCTCCTCAACTATAATAGACATTTTTGCTGTGTATATTATTCTGGGCTGACATTTATTGTCATGTAGAACAGGAAATACCTTGGTCTGGGTTCTTCTGGCTTTCATAGTTTACATTGATAAGTCAGTTGTAATTCTGATGGGCTTTCCTTTGTGTGTGACTTGTTTTTATTTCGCTGCTTTCAGTATTCTCTCTTTGTTCTTTTCATTTAGTGTTTTTACTATGATATGTCATGGGGAGTTTCTTTTCTGATCCTGTCTATTTGGTGTTCTATGTGCTTCCTGTATTTGTATGGGGATGTCTTTCCTTAATTTCAGAAAATTCTCTTCTACAATCCTGTTGAAGATCTGGTCAACACCACTAACCTGAAATTCTTCTCCATCC